GCTGTATGATCCGTAATCTGCTGCTGTTGTCGGATTAACTCTATTTTTCAGCACATGATAGGCTGTACATGACGCCCAGTATAAGAAGAACATGGAAAACCTTCCAGAAGAACCACAGGCCCACTGGAAACTACTGTCAAACGTTCTCACATACCCACATAAGCCGAGTTTCCGACTCGAACCCACGCGGGCAGAGTTGAGATGGCAGTGTTCGGTAAAAGCGAGCGCTTTAGACTACTCGACCACAACAATTTGTAAGATTGACCTCAAATTGCACCCATTAGATGTAGAATCCACTCCACGGCATGGAATGGTCTCCCATTAGACGAATAATCACTGCACGGCATGGAATGTTCTCCCATTAGACGAATAATCTCTGCACGGCATGGAATGGTCTCCCATTAGATTACAATCCACTTCACAGCATGGAATGGTCTCCCATTAGATTACAATCCACTCCACAGCATGGAATGGTCTCCCATTAGTCTTACAATCAAATACCAGCTTTAAAACTGTTAAGACGAACATGTTTCCAGAAACTTAGATATTCATTTTAAGCTATTATAAAAAGCTGTATCGTGGTTTTCATCATTCTTGCACTTTTAGTTGTTTTATGAATAAATTATATGTTTTTTGTGTAATACTATCTCAACATATTCTTACTAGAGTGTTTGTATCTTATGTTTTAAGTATGCAACATAGTGTTTAATTGATGCTTTTAGTTTCGTACTATGTCTTACCCACCTTTGACCTCTTAGCTGCTGAAATTATCTCCTTATTTTATCCAAATTATTCTCTTTTTTATTTACTTTGGTTATGCATATGTTTCACTGTTATGTATACTTATTTTCATGGAACCTTATGAACAGCTTCACAATTAACAAGCTATCCGATAAAACAAATCTCAAAGTAAAACATGAAAAATGCAATAATAAACTCAACTTGCAAATCTCCTCACTGTTTTTTTTTTTTTGTAGAAGAATTGTGTTTATCAGAAATGAGAAACGAGCATGCAAAAATAATTATTGCAACATGTTAAGATTTATCGAGGCCCACAACATGTCAAGATTAATTTGAACGGTCGTAAGTAATATTTATATTCTTGACTTGAAAGGGATTAATGGAAGAAATTATTTTGTTGATCTATCATTTTCATTAGCCATTAAAGGCTCCCCTGGTGCTCAAATATTGGTTTTCTTTAAATTTCTTTGACACTAAAAATACTAGTATTTTATGACCTTCCCAAAATCATAAACAAAGTGATATATTCAAAACAAATAGCCCAATAAATCATGGACAAAATATCACTGACGTCTTTTCGTTTAAAGCCAATTTACTGTAGCATTTTATAATTATATTTGCATATCTGTATAGGTTCGTATGCTTACAATCTGGACCTTATATGCAGGTCCTAGTATTTGTCACAGGTAATACAGAAATCATGCATACTTTCAGAATCAGCTTTCCTTCATTAATCATCTGCAATCTTTCATTTTTCTCGGAATAAACGCGCAGAAACAATTAATTTCGGAAGATATTTCAGCCATTATGATGTAATTGTACTTAAAATCCATGTATCACAGAAAAACTGATTGACATTTGGAAATATCAGTATTGAGTAAACTATGAAGGTAATGTTGTTGAGTACGAAAAATAATTCCTACCTTGCGGAGATATCAGTCTTTTAGAGGGGGAAGGCAGTGAAATTGCAAATCATTTTGCATATGAAATTGTCTCCACCCAACCCCGATTTGCCCATGAGACTCACTAAACTCTGTCAAAATATGTTTCTGCGCATGCTTTTTGGCAAAAACATTTATTTGTAATCCGACCGAAAAGTGTCAGTGGCAAAGTTAGTTTCAGACGATTACCGCCAGCTTCTCAAAAAGGCACAGTCTTTATATAACGTTAACTTACGTCACTGATAAATAATAATTTTACACATTTTGACATTTTAGCAGGAAAGTCTGTCAGCCACATTCAGTGTCATATTTATTGAATTATATTGCATCTGTTAAAAATGTTCATGAGAAGGTTTTCATAGCTAATAAAGCACGAGTCGAGTTACCTGCCTGAATGTCGCGTGCTATTTATGTGTTCGTTGACGATGTTTAGTTTTTGGGGTCCCTTTTGAAGGAATAAAGATTTATTAAGTCTTACCAAACTACGTATTATGTTGCTTGCTGAAGGGCATAGTGGAAGAACTGACAGCTAATGTTAAAGAAATTATAAAACGTGAACGAAGCTTTTCCACTTTTAATGTAACTTTTGCATTGCTGCATTTAAATATTTGGGTTATTTCCGACTGTGGATTACTTACTGATGCTGCACCAGCATCAACTGGTCACGTGTCGCTTGTTTTGCCGTTTTATTATGCCTCGAGTACCAGTCTGACTTTTCTTTCCTTGCTTTGCTGCCCATATCTAAACAGTTTAATATTCTGATATCATTTTAATTTTTTTTGATTTCCCATGCATGTCAAAGCTGTACACATTGCCTCGGTGTTTACGTATCCAGACCAAAGAAACTAGCGGTACTCAGTCATCCAGTCAATACAAATTAATTTACAATTTTCGTCTAGTAGCTTATTTGATGCTCAATAAATGAGTTATTAGCATATAAACTTACCTTTGAGGTATATATTTTCTCTTTATATAATTTACATAGTACAGTATAGTGATAACTCACTGTAAAGTCCCTCACTATAACACAGCTCATCTTATAACGCTGTCATGGATATAGATCTTATTTAATTGGTAGAATGTTGTTCCCTTTATACCCAAGAGAATTATTGGTGTAATCCTCAGTATGTCACCCTCACTTATAAGGCTGGGAGTTTTTATTGCTCCAAGGAACATTATTATAATGATGTTGTACTGAATGATATACACAGTGCCGAATTTACCATTGTGCTTATGTGTACAGGGCCCCTGTTGGCCAAGGAGCCCATCTTCTTGGCCAAAAAAAATTACGATGAATTTTTTTAATGTCTAAGGTTATGTTAACTGCTCCTAAATTTCCTGAGTATATATGGCTGACTACCTGTGTAGGTAGACCTACCAGGCCTACCTCCTTTAGGGCCCTAGTAAGGGGCTTCATAACTTAACAAGCACAGGGCCTCATAACTTAACAAGCACAGGGCATCATTTGTCATAAATCCGGCACTGGATATACATCGTTTGGTATGATGAAGAAAATGGTTGCATTACATGACAAGTAATATGTTGTTGCTTGCCTAATTTGTACTCAAACAATAAACGCGAACTTTAAAAAAGAAGATTATAATGTGAAATAGAAACTTGATTATATGCAGAACATATAAAGCACGCCTCAAAATCTTCTATATTGGGGGAAACAAATCCTCATTCATAAAAATTCAAATGCTTATTTGGAAGTGAGAACGTTTCAACAAGAAGAATTGTCAATAGTTCCTGTCATGAAGAATGGTCAATAACTCTTGCCAAGAGGAACTGTCAATATTGCGTGTCAAGAAAAATTGTCAGTTGTGTTTGTGCCGGCCAAAGGAACATGTCCAGAGTCCTTGAGTAGATCTTTTCAAGAAGAATTGACAATATGTTTTGTCAGTAAGATTGGTCAACAGTGCAAACCAAAAGGAACTGTCAATTCTGCGTGTCAAGACGAATGGTGAATTGTGCCAGCCAAAAGCATATGTCAACATGTCAACAGTCCTTGGGTAGAGTGACAATCAAGAGTCAACGAGAGTAATGGTAAGTAATTTCAGTCCATCCTTGAACGATCCAAATCTTATACACATCTACGAACTATTAAGAGTGATTATAGATGCTAGTATATCAAAAAAATTCGAAGTACACCAGCAATAGTATGACTGTTGATGTTAAAATAAGAAATTAATTGTCGGATTTCAAATGATACAAACACGAGAAAAAGGAAAGATTACACAGGCTGACGAAATCTGTCTTGACAGAGATGTAACATAAGTGTGTGTCTCTGTGTGTGTGTGTGTGTGTGTGTGTGTGTGTGTGTGTGTGTGTGTGATCTGGAGTTTTAACGTAGATTTAACAATTTTAGCAGTCATATCGCTACGATGTCTACAGAGTGGCAGTTTATAGTGATGTCTAGCACTGAGGCATCATGCCCGCAGATATGTAGCATGATATCTCACCTAGTCACAGTATCCGGACATCAAGCCGACCTTTCCTAACTCGAACCTCTTCATGCTGCGCGCCAAGCGAGACACCTGTTAGTATCATTCATTGGGCACCCGGTATACGAATCTAATCGGTTTCTAGATGGCGTTCGTAACCCGGGGTGTTCCTAACCCGGAACGCGTTTTCCCATATGGTCCCATTGTTAAATTTTTAATCCGTTCCCGAGCCGAAAATAAATCGCCAAAAATCTGCCTAAAACAATACAAACGACTAATTAAGAAACAAAGGAAGAAAAATATTACATGTACTGTACAAACATAACACATAGGCCTACATAGCAACAAAACACGAACACACTAAAAAAAAAACAACACAAACATTAATATAAGAACACCACATGCTCCTTTTTGTCACCTTTTTTCACTCTGTTTGAGGCCGGGCCGTTTTAAGGCATAGCCACGCGATGCACGTGCCTAAGGTACTGCAGCGGCCCAAAAACAAAATTGCAGTATCGGTTGTATTAGCACTTTAGTACTATATTAATAAATTTAACAAAATGACACACAGGCATATGGAAATGCAATACAATACTCTATATCTGAGATAGAGAGACTGGGGCGCAATTCTGGTTAGAGTTTGTGCCTAGGACCCCCGGACTTCTTAAAACGGCTCCGATTTCAGTAAAGGCAACCATATGTGAGCTCGAGTGTTCGAAATGTTGCGCGCAAGCGAATGGCGGTTTGGTTCGTAATCCGAAGCACCGTTCGTAACACGAATCATTGTTTTAGCCGGCCTGGCGTTCGTAACCCGGATCGTTCGTAATTCAGGACGCTCGTAAGCCGGCCCCACTGTATTTATAAGTCTTTGTTATGACTCGGGCGTGGATCGAACCCACGACTTACCGCATCCAAGACGGACGCTCTAACCACTAGGCCACCAGAGAGGTCTTGTTACATAAGTAGAATAGGATGTATACAATTTCTAACTGTAAAAAGTATAATTATTTTAATGAATTTAATTATATCCCGAAATAAAACATATCAGAGCTGCGCAAAGATTTTTATTCTGGCACGGATAAAATGAAAGAATTTTATATCGTTTCACACGCTTTTGAAAATTAAATTTAAACAACCTAACCTACCATACACTAAAGTAAGGAAATTAATAACATTTAAGCATCTAAACCTACCGTGCAGTAAACGTAGGAAACTGAACATGTTCTGTCTGTCACATATTCCATACAATAATGCACGGTTTCTTCATACGCTGTATATTTTAGGTATCTCATTAAAATACAGCTTATTTAATTCTATTTAGATCAGGAAATGCAGTTTCCAGGGCACGGGGCAGATGAGCGATTTTTAAAGCCCCACCCTATGATGTAAATAAGCGGATTAAACCAGGTCGTGGGCTGGATCATGTCTGCGGGCGGTTGATTGCACATAAGTAATTTAAAGCAAAATGTAATATCCATGTAAATCAAATAATATTCAAAAACTGATATGCAACTTTAAAACAGTCTTTCTCGTATGTGTTTCAAATGAATACATAACAGTGAGCTTGATCCACTTACTTGATGGTGGAAAGACTATCAATCAATTGTATAGGATGTCGAAAAAATCGATTCCAGTGCAGAATTTATCTAATTTAATAGTTCATCGCACCTGGCATTGCACTAAAGGCAGAGATTTATTTCCATCCTGGTACAAAGAAAGTGACATGGCACATTTTCTTCATGCTGAGCTATGCAATAATTTCTAGCGCAGTCTAGACTTTCGCATGAATAAAGCGATATACTGGGTGACTAAAAGCAGGTTCATAAGCCTGTGTTTATGTACAAAATAGAAAGCAAAATCTTTCGGAGGTATCTTTACCTGTATAATCATTACCCTACAAAGGAATCATTTAGTGCCGCAGTATGACTTAATCACTCTTCGCTGGCATCTCAATATCACAAAACCGCGTGAGGTACTTACCGCATCTTCGCTAGCAAAGGTTCTGATAACGCTATATACACCTTGGCGGATCGAACAGTTATATTGGTGCTTTGTCCTAGCGACATCTATTGGATTTCATATGTATAGTCTTCTTTAGTATATGATGCCAACTAACAAATAACAAATAGCGTGGTGCATTGCACATCCCCCGAAAACGGTGTTCGCAATTGACCTAAAAAGGATACTCTGCAAGTTTGACATCGAAAGTATGACTATGAACCTGAGGGAAGCCATTACAATTGTATTTAAGTGAAAGGTATTTATGCAAGCACGGACCGACATAAGAAAATTGATTATTTATCAGTTCATTCAAACTGTATAGTTCCATTGTCTCGATCATGTAGGAACAGTGACCAACTCCGAACAACTTAATTTTAAGTGGATGTCGTGGCTTGCCGCCGCATCCAATGAAATTCACAGATCCGAAGCACAGAAATATCTGCTACATATGAAAAGGTTATTGGAACCTTGTCTAGCGAAGATGTACTTACTATTGCAACTCTGAATATACAAATATCATGAAAACATAACAAAGTTTCTTCACGTCCTTCTATATTAACAGCGACTGAAATGTCTGAGTCTGCTATCTGCTCTGTACTAGTGAATCATTTTGATACATGGAAGGTTTCTATACGGTTAATTCTGTATTAACGCCGCTAGAATACCAATGTATCTACGTATCGATCGAAATGTAATTTGTAAGGACGCCTTAGATTTATGTAATGTTTTGGTGTGTTTAAATTGCACTTTCAACAGACTTATAACCTTTATCTAAAGTAATTAATTTGTGCTCTTTTAGAATACATGCCATGCACCAATAACAGATTGGTAATTCTTTGAAAATACAAAATATAAATCAGCCAGAACTTATATATATATATATATATATATATATATATATATATATATATATATATATATATATATATATATATATATATATATATATATATATATATATTAAACATCTTGGAATACTATTGCAATCATCATAACAATGAAGTACAAAATATTGCATCAGAAACTTACTTTTCTTCTTAAAAAACTGTTGAAAATGATCTTTCAGACTAAACAATTTTTTGAAAGATTGTCAAGAACTCTAACATATCACTAAATCAAAGCAATTCCTGATAGTTCACGGTTACTATCCACACCATGCAAATTGTTTTTAACACTGAAAATGAAGACGCGGTGCATCTAAGTGAGCGCCTATGAAAACAGCTAACAACCGTCTCTCAAGTTTCCTGAATTTACTTCGCATAAGCAATTTATATTTACTGTATCTCTTTCAAATGCATTTCATCGGTTTCGAAAAGCTTTACATCTTATACCAGCAAATATTGGTTAATTTTATATTGCGTTATTATTTTCTTACTTCAATATTTTTGGTGCTTCTTTGACTCGATGGCATTCCATCCTTTTGAATAAACGTAGTTTCGATCACTGTTAATGAGAATCACTCACATAAATAAGCACGTGATTCTATTTCATTAATGTACCGCGCTCAGGTTTCAATAATACAATGCACGACGTGTAAATTGTTGAAGAAATCGTTTAAATAATCTATATTTTCAACTGCTTTAGTTAAATAATATTATTAAACGATTATTTAGTGTGTTTTAAGTATAGAATAGAACGGTTATTGATTGAGTATTTAAAAATATTTTGCTCCTGTTAATGAGGCGTTGAACGCCCTCGTAAGCTCGGCAAGCCAGGAATACTCGACTGCCAAGTTTGAGTCCCGTGGTATGTATGTATGTATGTATGTATGTATGTATGTATGTATGTATGTATGTATGTATGTATGTATGTATGTATGTATGTATGTATGTATGTATGTATGTATGTATGTATGTATGTATGTATGTGTGTGCGCGTGCGTGCGTGCGTGCATGCATGCTTGCATGCATGCATGCATGTATGCATGTCTGTATGTATGTATGTATGTATGTATGTATGTATGTATGTATGTATGTATGTATGTATGTATGTATGTATGTATGTATGTATGTATGTAGGTATGTAGGTATGTATGTATGTATGTATGTATGTATGTATGTATGTATGTATGTATGTATGTATGTATGCTTACATACATACATACATACATACATACATACATACATACATACATACATACATACATACATACATACATACATACATACATACATACATACATACATACATACATACATACATACATACCACGGGACTCAAACTTGGCAGTCGAGTAGCTAGAAACATTCCTTCTGAGGTGATAGTTGTGATCAATACATACATACATACATACATACATACATACATACATACATACATACATACATACATACATACATACATACATACATACATACATACATGCATTGATTTTCTCTTCGATCGCGGACATCAGCATAAAAAGTTAGTGTACTTAAGTGGAAGAAAGAAATCTTCAGGCTTCCTCAGTATTAGCAGTTTGATGAGGCTTTGAAAGCGTAGTTGATACTGAGTAATAAAATGTGTTACAAATGTCAATCAAAGCTCCCTCCGGACAACTAAAATCTGTATTTTGTTTTAATTATCGTGCTTTTGATCCGCCGAAGCTAGTGTAACGCTTTTTTCACCCACATACCAACATTTCTACGTGAATGAAATGCAATATGTATAGATTTTAATACACATAAAACGAAAGTGATATACAGAAAAAATAGAGACGACCAAAAAAATACAACTTCAGTACTTTAAGTGCTTGCTGGAAATACCATGCATGAATCGTAAAGTATACTAAATCCTACTAATAGATTCCTTTTATGTACACATAGTTTCTGCACCTAAATCAATGGGACATATACCATATAACATATATAACCAGAATTGCCAACTCATAATGGATTTTATTTACAAAACATTTTAAAAAAGGTCCGGTCGGCTGTCTGAACGTTTGATGAACTTAGCGGAGGCAACAAAGAAATGTATGCCCCCCCCTAACCAAATTTAAAACAAAAACAACAACCCCCGAAAACAAAATGCACTGACTAATTAAAATATAAAGAAAAGGATATAATTTATCCTAATATACAGTTCAGACGATACAAAAGTTCATTAGATCACACAGAACCACTGAATGACCCATGGTGGAATCGTGTGATAAACTAAATCTAATCCTCTAAAAATAGGCAGTAGGAGCCATGGATCGATGTGTAATGAAAAGAATTGAATACGCTAGGTTAGGAAAAAATGTGTTGAATATGGTTAAAATTAACTTGTTTTAAAGAATAAGCCTCACCTCTATCTGCGTGGGTTCGAGTCTAAGATTCGGCTAATGTAGATATGTGAGAAAGCTTGCCAGTAGCTTCTCGTGGGTCGTTGGTTCTTTCCGGTGTTTTCCCGGTTTCTTCCTCCACCATTAATACTGGTCGCCATGAATAGCCTATCGTGTGCTGAAAAATGGCCTTAAGCCCAACAACAACAATAAGCTTCCTGCTATTTAATATCTAAAGATTTGACTCATCAGAATAACTATCATGAACCCAGCTGACCAAATTACTAGAGTAGTATCAGGATTTTGTGTGAATTATTTCATTTATATTAACCTATAGGAGTAAATAAACTCATATCGTTTCGATACGAATGTCAACAAATGCCGGTCTGCGCAAATGACAAAAAGTTATCCAACGATTGCATTCTTTCACATCAATAAATGCAATATCTGGTCACAAATACATCAACTCTGGAATTACTATGCTCAGAAACATATTATAGATTTACATCCATTCACACAATTCCAACAACTGGAAGGTTACCTTTTCTGCCGTATACAATATAGAATCCGTATTAGTGATTTGACATATTTTAGATGGAAACATAGTAAACATTCTCATCAAAATCGATGTATTTGGCGAGTCTCAACAATACCAAGTAAACCATGTGACCATTGGAGATCCCATGTTGAAAAATGATGTTGTACG